TGCCTTGTGTCTAGTCAACACAGGTAAGGTTTATTGCCACATTTATATTTTGACAACCCAATCCTTTAGCACCTGTCAGATACCACTGGCTGTCATGCAGAATATACTTTCATAGGTATAGTTGGAGACCACAGGGGGTAGCACAAACACAAGGCACAGACAGAAAAAAAATATGACAGACAAGAAAGCTGTACTCTGTCAACATGTACCATAAGTAGGTGACATGATACCTATGTGAACATACAAGGCACTGTTACATCACAGAATTGGTGCCCTGCAACCAGTTAGCAACTAAGCTGTAACCTTCGATACTCTCGGGCATATGCCACTGCGAAGACAGCGAGCAGTGTGTCGCATCTGGTAGCTCGATATATGTTACTATATCATTCCCATTATCTGCAATCATGCGGTCTCGTAGCATCCTCATACCATCCAGCGTCATTTCAGCATCTCCCGCAATAATCAGAGTCTGAGGTAGTCCGGCGAATCGGCCCTTTGCGGAAGGAAGGCGACCACTTCCGGGAGATATCCAGACATTCGCATATGCATCTGTTTCAGGAAGAGATCCCAATAGAGCTCGAGTGGTGTAACTGCCCACGAATGCATAGATGAGGTCAGAATTGCAGTTTCGTTCCATCGCCGAGCCCGGTCCGACGTGCGTGCAGCCCCAATCGAGAGTGGGAGACAGGAGAAATTGTGCATGGGGAGGGGGTAGAGAAGGGATCGCATAGTTGACCAAATAACGGACGAGGGCCAAGGCCAGGTTTCCACCTGATGACTCGCCCATCACGAGTATATTGCATGGTTTGTAGCCAACCACGTTAACAAGATAATTGTAGCCTGCTATCGCATCAATCAAAGCGGCGGGGAATGGATTCTTTGGAGGTAGAGGAAGGCCCTGGCTTAACCGATATTCGACCTGGAAAATGCGATGATACCCGTCGCAAAACTGGAGCATCTGATTGCAAAAGTAGGCAGAGTTCCCCTTCGGTGACGCATTTCCAGTCTGCATCGACATAGTATTGATAAAAGAAATTTATAGCTAGTGATGAATAGGTTACTGACCACGAATCCACCACCTACGGAGACAGGTACGCTATCAGCGCCGGGGATACAAGGCCAGAGCAAGGGAACATCACCCACCGTGCAACTCGTATATTACCTTTTCGTCTGGATCGGCTTTTTGTCCCACGACACCATCTAGTCCCCTCTCCCCGTACCAAAAGCCGGCTACCTTGGTAGAAGTGACCCCGTTCAGATCTGCAGCATCCTTGATTTCACCCAATATCAAATCGGGAGTCGGGTCAACCCAGACAAGACCAGCCTCCGCCGCGAGCGGCTGCTCGAGCAGCTTGGGGTCGATGGAGAAGATGCTGACGGACGTCTTGAAGATAGTATCAGAAACAACGCGCAAGAGGTTGACGATAAGTGTGCGCGACAATGTCCACGAGCGTCGAGGGCGCCACGACGGAAGAAGATTTGTGGTGATCCAGAACGGGATGCGCACAAAGAGAGAGACGCCTGTATAGAGCAAGAACAATGTCTTGAGAGGCTGGTGACGGTATGCGAAGTAGTTGAAAGTTGCCATACTGGAACTTGGAAAGACTGGCTGAGAGAGTAGACACAAACCTTCGGGTTGCGCAACGCTTATGGACGCACGCGTTTGAAGATTCCGAGTATCGCGCAATCGCCACGAAGCAGAGCTTCTCTTCTTGAGGCTGTGGGCGTGGGCTATTCAACGGAACCAACCTGGGAATTACCGACTGCGAAACGTCTGCTCGATTCCGAGGTCCCCGCTGGATTTGAATATCCTGTGGAGCCTCTTCAGCTTGTGAGAGGAATGGTCTGATCTGCGAAGCCACTAGTCAGGCTCATGGCTGGCATCTGTAGAATGTTGTCAAAATGTAGTGATTGTATCTCCGTCTTGTGATTCGTGAAGCGTCTACAATAGGTCATGAGAGTGATCGTGCAGAAAAAGAGCACAGCCGCTAAATGATCGACAGTCTGACAGGCGTCCGTGTGCTCACAGCAGTGGTGCAGGGCTTCCAGATGAGTTCGGAAGCGATTTCAGCAGTCTAGCCGCTCAGCTGCCAGATCCTTGTGTAAGCGCTCTAACATGCCGGCATTTCAGGACATGTATTCGGGTGTGCTGTGCACCTACAGTCATCATAAGTACCCCAATTATGCTAGATCATGCTTACAAGGAACTCTGCGTGAAAATTTCGCGACCCTCAGTTAATCTGCAGCTGCTGCCAAATGGTTTCAGAGCTCCAGCGCTCCAGCAATGCCTGCTCTTGCTGATGGCAGGGGTACTTTATTGGATCATCTTTACCGGCGATTGGTACTTAAGTCCAGTCTGACGGTCAAGCGCATGCGGAGCTCAACACAGACGCTTTCGATATCTTAGACAGGCCTAGGACAACGGAAGCCAGATGGATTTTTTCATGACAGGTTAGTAACGAACATTTGGAATTTGACTGATGAGGGAGCGCCAATATAGAACACAGTCGCTACCATACGGCCTCAGCAGACGGAATATGGACGGAAACAGGAGCCCTCAATTGAAGCGCCCTCATTGTGATCGGAGCGAGAGTTGGTATATTGATTAATAGTGATTATCACTGATACTTGTGGTATCTGGACGAGATGTAGCTCCAGTTCATCGCCAGTCGGATGTGAGTGTCGCACAATCAGGTCTACTGCGTCGTTGGCCTGGTGACAGATTGTCTATAGCAATAGATTAGAGGTAATCGATTCAAGTTATCTCTGATGTGGTACTTTTTTTTAAGTTTATACTCCATACCGTAAGGTACATGCAGAGTGCGTAACTACCGAGAGAGGCCTGATCGTAAAGGTCAGATACGTCGCGCAACCCTAACGGGCTTGCGGTTGGTGTCCTAAGAAAAGTGGTGGACTACTGCTTGGCGGAAGGGTCCGCCATCGCGCAGCCACTTCTGAAGTGCGCCTGTCGGCGTCGTATTCGCTGACGAACAGTAGCCAACTCGGGCTGTCCGCACTCAGTTTCAGGGGGTCGTCCCCCCGCTCGGCGCACCAATCCCGATAGACCGCAATACGGCCTACCGTGTGGGCGTGTAGGATCGCGTTGGCGACAGAATACCCATCGCCCTCCTCCAGGTCGCTGGCCGCTTAGGCGAGTATTTCGGCCCACTCGAACGTAGCGACCTGCGTATTGAGTCTGAGTATACCACGTGGTCTTCTGACCACCCAGCTTGCCGTCGCACCTGCGCCTGGCGCACGGAGTCTGGCGTGTAGGCCTGAACCCGAGCAGCCTTGCGGCGAAACCACAAGGGACACGCGTACAGGATGTGCTCCCGTGTCTCCGGATCACCGGAGCACGGGCAATTGACGGGGCCAGGAATCTTGTATTCTTGATGTGGTACTTACAGCGCTTCTGAAATCCAAATTAAATGGCGCTTCTTCCCGATATGATCTGGCATCTTCAACTTGAATGAGAACTGAGTCAACTGACGAAGAAATGATACGCAAAACGAGCCACCACAAACTTAAGCAGAATGTTCTCAGCGTGACACGTCACCCTATGAAAGGAAGAAGCTCCCGAACGAGCTGATGCAGTCTCGATGAAGGGATGGCGTCAGGGTGATTCAGATCTTTTAGCCTGAGCAAACAGGAACCCTCTACTGAATGGGCTCCACAGTGACACACGTCCACGCTATAGCTAGACGCCACAGCCTGTGCCTGATGCGTCTTCTCATGATCCATCTTCTCCTGGGCATGATCAGACTAATCAGCTGCCAGCTGATTAGTCTGATCATGCCTTGTTTTTTGCTTCTCAATTTCCCAGCTTCTCCGATGGAGTCAGGTGGCTGATGGGCCTTCCGCGTGGCTCTATTATTTTTTGTTCGTAGAATTGGTTACTGAAGTTCGTTCTCTTTGAGTTCAGTCTTCAATTGTTGCCCATTCCATTTTTGTCATTGTGATGACCATTTAATCATGGTTGTGATCTATCCATCACATATTGACACAAAGACACATGTTGGTTAGGACTTAAGTCATTGCCTTGCAGTTTACACTGTACCTACATCTACTCCCCACAACACGGTCTTGGCTCTCTGTGTTTCTCTGAACTTACACACCCTATTTGTACTTCAAGGTGCCAGTTTGCTGTGGCACTGTCAAGTATGTTAGACCCCTCTTCTTCAGATTGCCAATATGGATGGAGTGTCCTAGAGTGAGGATCTATTGTCAGCTATACCCAGTGCATGTAAATGATACACTTTTGCTATCATGAACATCTTGAATGAAGGATTTTATAGCCCTATGTTGGGATCAGAACTGTATACATACTCATAGCACACAATGGCAGATGAGTGCGTGTTTGATTCATCCCTTTGTTGAACAAATAGTGAATGCACCTACAAGTTCTATTTACAGAACCACTACAAACAGTTCATGGACACTGTAGATTAGTTGATCTAATTTCATCTATATCTTATCTAGACACAATTGTTTATCTAATCAACCAGATATAGTTATAGAGTCTAGACAGAGTCTAGTAGATTCTGGACAGAGTCCAGATGTTACAGCATCAGGGGGGGGTTTCTTTTCTTTCCTAACTATTCGTTGTTGACCCTGTACTATACAACTGATCCCATCACTTGATGTGTTTCACCTATATGTCAAGGTGTCACAGAATTTCATGGTGTCTATATTATCTCCAGCGTCTAGATGATCTATATCTTATCCAATTAGATATCTACC